TTCCGTTCAGTATCTCAGATTAAAGTATGAAACTATGAAAGTAGCATGACAAGCAACAATCGTAACAGCTATAAAACTACATTTTTATATGCACTGTAACGTTACTCTTAGTCATCGAAGGAAAATGAATAGCTAAAATGTCACAATGCTCAATTAATATGCCTGGGTATTTAATCAGATGGACCATAGGGTTATAAAACAGAAGTAAAACAGACTTTGGCAAAGTTTTTGTAACTTGAGTAAATCCAGCTGCTCCATCAGCTCATTAGCAGAGTGCACACACACAGGGAAGATGATGATACAAGCTCCTGCTGCTTTTCCAACTTCTCATTTTAAAGTAATTAGCATTCTTAGTGCATGCACATACACAAGAACATTGCAAGAGGGTGGAAAGCTTACCCATTTGAAACAGTGAAAAAAACCCACAGCAATTCACTGAGAAAACTTTTATCACAATTGATCCAGAGGAAAAAAAATATCACAGCTGCCATTTGTTATCAATAAGGTCTCAAATTTTTCTACTGCTTTGACAGAACACTGGAGGGAGGAGCAACCTCTGCTCCCTGCAAAACAGAAATCCGCATTTTTAATGCACTCAATTAGCAGTGGTTTAGGCCTGTGCCAGATTCATCATCAGAGCTAACTGATTTCAGGCACAGGCCAATCTCACCATCCAACATCATTATGCAAAGGTAGGTGTTTAAAAGGAAAACACATCTCTGATTAAGAAAAGCATGAGGGGGAAGCACACCATTTACAAGCTGCACACAGCATTCCCTCTCAGAGAAATAACCATGTTGAAAAACATTCTGAAGGGATGCCTCACAATCAAGTTTTAGAGGACTGCTCTGGAAGGCCCCAAATTGGAGATTTTAAATTAGATCAAGCTGGCTGAAAATGCACATATTCATCTTTATCTCGGGAGAGAATGTGGGCAAGAGAAAATTCAGTGATGTTTCCTGGCACATTTCCCTGCTCCCTCTTCCACCTCCACACACAAACCAGAAGAGTGCTCTGGGAAAGAGAGGAAATTGTAGTAGTACACAGGACAGTATTTCTAGAAAGCAAAAATATTTATCACAGCTAGCTAGCTGCATTGCAGTTTGAACACAACTCTGTATGTGTCAGTGGGAGTAACTGAGGTCAGCACTTGTCAGAGGAAAGAAGCACAAGCGCCTGTTCTCTTGGCACAAAAAAACATACGTTGCCAGAGCAGGAGGCAGCTTTCCTGGCCCAAAGCCCATGCTGGAGTCTCAGGAGATGAAAGGCTGGAAACGTCCTTACTCTCCCACATGAACAAATCAGTCATTCTCCAGACCTGGTTTTGCACTGAGCTGAATTCTATGCTTATATTCTTCCTTTTTAATGCTTTTGAAAATAATAAATTACAGAACTGTTTCATCGACTTACTTCCATCTCAGTTCACAGCACAAGGCTACTTTTGGCACACAGAAGTGGAGAGGACTGGCAGGGCTATCTCCACATAATCTGATGTTCATTAGTCCACAGAGCCTACAAGTGCCCAGCTGCAAGCACTGGCATATAATCATCACTATAGATTATTATATTTTTAGAATCATCTAATTAAGCCCTATTTTCTTGGCCTCAGAGGCAACTACGTGGTAGCTCACCTGTCCCAGCTTCACCTCATTAATTAGAGACCTCTTCCTTCAAATACAGCCAGGTGCTCCAGCCAGCAGCAGGCCCAATCTTATTGTCCAGCAACACCTTTTTAATAGGAGCACCACAGCTGCCTTGGGGAAAGTCATGTCATACATATGAGTACTAAACCCATCTCTTAAATGTCTTTCATGTAAACGTGTAAACTAATAGTTGATGGTTCTTTCTTCCCTTGTTCTTCAACTGAAGATGTGAATATGGCATTCAGGAAACAAATTCCTATTACATTTTATGTAGATTTCTACTCAGTCATTCCTTACAAACTACTTTCTACTCCAACCTACTTTCTCTTCACCTGTATATATTTGCAAGAATAATTAACTTCATTTTTACAGGCACTAAGGCTTTAACTACCTTTTCTTTCAGGTCATTGTTCTTCTGAACTGATTTTGCTCACATTGCATTTATTCACAATGCCTTAGAAACAGCAAAAAAATATATTTAGAAAAACAACACAGCTGCAGGAATTTGCTGTCTTACTGAACCATGGAAGCTCAGTGAAGCACTGGCATGTTTCTGAATCTGACTGCAAGAGAGCAACTACTGTTACAGCTTTATCTTGGTACACACTAGTACTGACTGCTTCAGTTAAAGCATTACATTATTCTTTATTTAGATACCTCCCGCAGCCCCAATGAGCACAGCAGATGATCACTTTTGACAGCTGATACTCATACCCCAACACCTTTTCCCTAGCCTTCAGGGAGGCGTAAAGCAAGCAGAACACAATTTTCATCCAGTCACATATTCCCACTTCTTTTATAGCTTTGTGAAAACAACAAGCCTCTCTGAATGTTCATTTTTTGCCTGAAAAAGAAAATTAACCAACTAACTACTTTGCAGGTGGATTAGTCAATACTGGTGCAACATTTTGAGAAGCATATATTAATGTATGTAACAAAAATAATGTAACAGCAGTGCTCTGAACTTAACTCCTTTGGATCCTGCTCAGTTGGCACCCCATTGCAGCGTTGCAAACAATCAACTATTTGACTGGATGCACATTTAAAGCACCTTTTAGTTTACTCTTCCTCCAACAGAAAGGCTGCTAATGAATAATTCGCTGCCAAACTGCAGCCTGCCCCCCAGCTCAGGCCTAGCACTGTGTCTCTGTTCTCACCTCACCCCTGTGGCAGAGGGTCCTTGGCTGCAGACAAGCACCTGCCCAGCCACAGCCACTGCCACGGGTGGCTGCCACAAGTCCCTGCCCAGCCCTCCTCGGCACAAAGTGTGCACAGGCTGCCTGAGGCCAAGCGTTAACCAAAGGCAAGAGGGAAACAGCCACTGTAAGGCCCTGAGGCAAGATACTATGAGGAAGAGATACCGAGCAGATTATCAATAATGCTGCACCTGCAGAGGCACCCCAAAGCTAAGGAAAGACACAGCATTTTTGTCAATGAGGAAAGGCACACTTACCATTTTTACTGGCTGCTGCCAGGCCAGACCCCTCCAGGGCACAGGGCCCACATGCTGCACTGCCTGAGCCCTCCCAGGGCTGGAGCTCGTCTCACCCACAGACCCCGGGGCACCAATGGCCAAAGAGGGCTTGGGCTGCCCCAATCAGCCTCAGCTGTGGCCACCAGCCCCACACCTGAACTACGGGCAGCAGGTGTCACCTCCAGCCCTGTCCTGGGCCCCTCACACCCCTTTCCCCACACAAAGCAGCATTCCAGAGGCATACAGGTCCTGCCCCGAATTACCAAATTATTTCCTGAAATACAAACACCTCAGAAGTCTTAAAAATGGATTCTACCAAGTCCTAGAAAGCAAGCAGTCAAGAGCAAACCTTCCCCACAAGCAAGCGTTTTCTCTCTCCTTCTGCAGGTGCTTTTCATTAAGTAAAGGCATCAGACATTCATAGCATCACCCTACCCTGCACAGCCACTGACATACACACAGAGCATAGAAAGTCCAAATATAATTCTGTTTGTGCAATACAATTTTATTTTTATTTTATTTTTTTAAACTTTGCAGTCATCTTGGAGTAATCATCATGTAAACAGTAGGATGGGATGGGATTACATTGAGTCTGTACGCAAATGGCTCTAGAACACCTCAACAATCATGACAAGGCATTATAAATAACTTCTCTTAATAATATATATTTGCCATTTTCAGTAAAGAGCTGCCATGTATCTAGGATTAGCTAGGAAGTAGTTTAAATTGTAACCTCTGAGAAACATGTCTCCAAGTTTGAAAGCCTTTCTAAGGTTCACTAGCTCCATAACATTTATGTCACAGGTTAAGCATAGGACTACTTGGGTCTGAAGTGTTTTCTTTATAACAGAGTTTTGCTTATCATTACACAAAACCCTATTATTTTCACTCCACCTTGGTATTTTGCAGAACTTCAAGTAAAGCTTCAGTTCCGTTCTTCAAGTTTTTATCACCTGTATGAAACCCGTTTCTATCATTACGTCAGATCAGAGACTAGCACAATAAGCAGTCTACCTTAACAACAACAGTTCAACATAGTTCTAGCTCATAGACTCCCCATAAAAGCACTGTCAAAATACTCTAACAACCTTTGCTACTGCATATCCCCTCCTTGCTCAGATAACTATATATAATTATATATAGTGTACCACATGTATGGTACTTCTAGAAAATTGAGATTATTTAAGCAGCCTCAGGCACATTCTTAAAACATTAATGTCGGCAAGGCACCTCCCACTCCCTTGACAATCAGTTTGTGGACTGGCATTTAGACACAACCAACAACAGCTTGCTAATGCCTAATTAAATAATTAATTTCAAAAAAGCCCCAGGAGTTACCAAATATTTCTAAGATAAACCTGAACCTTTTTTTAAATAATGGGAGATTAACTGCAAGTAGCATATAATCAATTCAAATAATTTTCTGACTACTAGGATATGTAATGCATAAATATATGAAAAATAAACTTCACAGTTTTAAAACTAGAATTCAAGTTTGACTAATAATTCTTAACTTTTATATTTATGTTAGTTTCTAAATGTAACAGAACAGAGGCAGTATCATCAACCACAATTACAGGTAAAAGTTTCACTCAAAGTTCATGAAAGAAGAAAGCTTGATAGAAAATTCCTTTTGTTACCAATAAATACAGCCACCTGAGTGCATTTCCACAGGCTTTTCACTTAGGGGGAATCCAAATCAACTGACATTTAGTAGCATTTTGAATGTTAGCAGCAGCAGTGGAGCTGTGGGCTTTGCTTGTTCTGACTGTGAATTGCTAGAGACTGAAGCAGAACTCAGTGTGTGGTGCATTAATTTTCCTTTGCATTTAAGCTGGCCTCTTCGCAACCTCACAATTCGGCTTGGGGTCAAGGAACAGACATCAGCTGACACTCAACTGAGCAAACCCAATCAGTTTCACTTCATCAGGAATCTCAGTGCCATCACAGCCAGAGGCCTGCAAGTACAAACAAAACCATTTAGCATATCACACTACACAAGAAAAACTGACAGCTGAGCAATATATTTCCCTGTATTGCCTAATCAGCAAACAGCTTACTTGAAGGAGAGCTTTCAGACTGCTCGATGTATTCACTGACAGTGTCAGCCTACTGCATCCTTCACTTCAGCAAACTCTCTTCTAATCAATATTAAAAATTACTTCTAAAATACTGGGAAATGAACACTTAAGACCCAAATTCTTTACACCAGACTTTTCAGATTGAAGCCAAATTTGCTTTTTCATGTGACCATGCTGTTTTAATTCATGAAGAGCAAATAATCCACATTTATAGTACCCACCTTTTACCATTGTGCTGTAGATACCAAATATCTCATGAGTCCAACTATCAAGTCTGTCTGAAAGACCAACCCACTGAATTTTAAAACAAAGAGACTGAAGAAGGCTACCAAGAGTAAATACCAATATTTTCAAAATGACAGCTCCTTTCTGACAGTACAATCAAGTACTTCAAATTATATTGTTGAGATTCTTCAGTAAAGTCTGTCATGGTACAAACTGGAACAAGTAGTCAGTTCATTTTCCACAAAAAACCAGTAAGAATATAAACCCACTTAGGTCAGACTGAACTTTTAGCTTAGGTCTGCTTTAAAAAAAATACACACACTGCAGGCAATTTTTTTTTAATATATTTTGACTTTTAAATACAAGATTTGCTTCTGTAGGACAGAAGCGACTACATTTTAGATGAATGTTTTAATGCACTCTTCACCTATGTGATAAATAAAAACAATAATACAATTGGATGAACAGTATAATGGTAAATTAATTATGACAGATATTTTCAGACTCTTTGGCATCTCCCCAAAAACCCACCAGAACAATTGGTTCACTCTATAAAAATGCTCGTGACCCTTTCATGCCTTAGTAGCATTTGAACCCTTTAGTAGAACTGGTTTGTGTATATGCAATACAAGGACAAGAGCTCTCAGACTGCATACACTGACTGACATCCTCTATTGAGTTTTCATGACCAAAAATAAACTCACTTGATACTTATGAAAGTATTGCATGAGGCTACTCCTTCAAATTTACTTTGATCAGACTTAAAGAACTGGAGATGTCTCTTCAGAGAGAGAATTTCACAGGTATTATTCCACTGAGGCAGCAAGATAAAGGTCTGAGATCATCACCATTGGTTTCTCTTATAACATCACAATGGTTTTTGGATTGGTAACTTAGTAAATAAATTCAGTTTTAATTTTACAATTAAAATATCATGATAAAGAGAGAGAATACTAACATTTTACACTCTAGCTAGCTATCAACCTTCTCAAAGCCATAATAAGTAACATATCTAGATACAGACAGATTTTTTAATGCCTTGTCAATAAATATTGTCTAAGATCTAATGCACCTGGAACCTATTGGCTTTATGCTTTGTGCTTAACAGAAGTACAACTACTATATAAACTCTTAATATTTGCAATTCACTGTTTAGGAACTGAAATGCATTATTTTATTAATGTTTTTTCCTCCTTTTTTTCATATGAAAAATCCTTACATAAAATGCAAATTGAACTGAGCAATAATGTTGTGCTTCCTTGAGTGTTGCCAAGACTATTTGGGTATTAAAGCAGCCTTCTTCCCAAAGTGTGGACAGCTGGATCTGTAGCAAAGTCATCATTCTGTGTTAGCCAAGACAACTAAGGGAGGTTTAATACTAACCATGTTCTGGAAAACAACATCATTGTAAGATCAAAGATGCACTGTTAAAAAATAAGCAAGAGGGAGATCCAACCTGAAAGACAGATTTGTCTAGGCACCTCACTTTAGTAACTTTCTTTACCATTTTGGCAATAACTAAAGATAAAAACAGTTAAGATCTAAGTTCATCTTTTCCCCCAAATATGAAAATGCTTGCTGTTTAAATAGAAATATGATGCACCAGCAAAATACCAGCAATCTGAAAGCAGTGAGATATTAATCAGATTTCTTTTCCACAAATAGTTGTAACTAATCCTAGACTCAAGAACACTTTTCAATTCAGATCTCTGAATAGATATAAGATTAGCTACATTTAGACTTTGAATCACCATGAGATATTTACCAACAACATGTGTTTCAATCAAGTGGTATGTAAGTGCTCTCAAATTCAGTGAAACCTTGCTAAGAGGTAACAAAGACTCAGTAAGGCATACCAACAAAGGAGAGTTCTCCTAGGCAACAATTCATTTACCAGCTCAACTACACAATACATAAACAGGCAGAAACAAAACATATAGTAGACTCATTCAAAGATAAGAATAATTAGGATACTTCTTGTGGTTATGTTCTTTTCCTGCAAAGTAGGGCACTAGTTTAAATTATCAGGAAGAAACTTAGATTTAAAATTAACCTCAGGAATAATTAACTAGTCCAAGGAACCTACCTTGACAAAGACATTGATTTTTTATTGTCTATTAATTCTAATTATGGTAAGGAGTAGGATGATAACAGCATTCCCTGAGTGGGAATGTGAAATACCATGTGATGTTGACTGTAGCATCAACAAATCTAGCAATAAATCTAACTGAATCACAAAAGCACCCCAACCTAAATTTTCAAGTAGATTTGTTTCAACGTATATAAACATAAACTGGATTCTATGTGATATTACAGTTCGGAATCTCAAGCCTCTATTTTAAGTGTGTGAACTAGAAACTCAGACTTCTACACAGCCTCTGAAGTATCCATGTATCTGAATGCTCCTGGTGAGATGCCATTGACTACACAAAGCTAAGTCAGATGTTTAGACAGCAGGAACACAGATCAGCTGCAAAAAGTGAAGCATCAGGCTTTAAGCTATATTTAGATAGAAAAAGGCAACAGAAACAAAACAATTCGAGTTACATGCCTTTATTCCCTCATCTCAACCTGTTCCCAGAAGAATAGTCTAAGTTCTGATGATTTTACTGGACTGCATAGAAAAATGAGTCCAAATGATTTGGTCAGTTAAAACTACTCAAATTTATATTTAAAAAATTACATGGGAAGAACAATCCCAAATTAATACCTTATCATCAACTAGGTCACTTATTCTCTCAAAATGGCTCATCTGAAGCAGGTGCTTTTATAAACAAAGCTGTGATTCCCGAGACCTACTTATCTAACAGACAGACATTCAGTCTAGTCTTTCACATGCAGCTGAGTCACTCTCAGCAAGAGGTGCTGAAAGCTAAATGGTAAGAGCTTGGTATTTACATAGCTAATCATTCAATAGTTTTAGGTATGTAAATTTTTCAAGTTAATTTTAGCAAGAAATAAAAACAAATACAGCACATCAATTCTGAATTAAGTTTTTTGCAATGTAAAATCATTAATATAAAATTAGATATATTATCATAGCATCAAAATCAAGCAAAATTAGGATCCATGGACCAGGGCACAAAATGCAGCACAGAGAAGACTCCCAGGCCCAAAACCAGGGTCTGATGTTGTATATATGGAACACAAAAAGAGGTGGGAAGGGAGAACCAGTAATGAAATACAGTGGGAGCAAGATAAACTTGCAAGTGTGGATGGTCAGTTGAAAGAAGCTGGAGAAGGTGACCTGCAGGCAAACAAAATAGGTGTTTAAAAAAAAATGGGATTAGAACAAAAAGTCCATTAGCAGAGGACACTTAACAGAGCTCAGCCAGGGCAGAGTTGAGGGAGCAGAGCTGGAGGGGAGTTAACCTTACTACAGTTTTCCCTATTTTCTTGTTTCTGAAACTCTTCCCAGGGGTCTTCTCCTTGCAGTTTCTCACCTAAACCTCAGACTTCCTCAGAATTCATGTGAATGAATCTCCTGCTCTCTGCACAGTTATGGAGCTCTGTGACTGTACATATCCCTAATGTTCTGTCAAGATAGGGTCTAGGGTTTCTCTCTCTAGCATGACAATTTCAGTCGTCTTATCTGTCAATACATTTATTCAGAAAAATAGCTGTAAATGAGATAAAATCCAAACTGTTGGATAATTAGTTTGTTTCTTCCCTTTGTGCTTTTACTTACCAATTTAAAAGTCAATGTTTTCAAGGTCTTTGGATCATCTACTATCTTCTGTAAGTTAGCAGCAACTGTAAAATAAAGTATGAAAAAATACAATTTAGAGAAAATTGCATTCAATATGACATCAATACTCACACTGAATCTTCTACTTAATTCTACACACACATCTGTAAATTACCACTTGAATCATTCAATCAATCACTCTCTGGCTATCATTTGAAAGTCAGAGGGCAGTTGGGTTGCCATAAATCTTGCCTTTCTTTTGCAGTCACTTTGCAGATATTTTGTGACTATGTTAACTGATTCAGGGGAAAAATTTACCTGAAAAATAAATGATAGAAAAAAATAGCAACTAATTTTCAGCTCAGTCTATTCCATAAATTTGCTTAACAATCACAAAAATGTAAGCATAACAAAAGTGGGAAAATCATGCAGTTAAGCATAAGCTGATGGTGGTCATGATTTATATCACAGCACAGGCTTCTAGAAGGCTGAGCTCACTGTCCCCTCTAACTTTCCCATGCCTGTATGCATGTACTTCTGTCCCTTTTTTGGGCTGGCATCATGTACCCACAAAGACTCTTGGTAGTACGTTACAGCTCTGAACCAAATTGAAACCACTGAACCAAAAGAAAAATAAGCAAAAATAAGTGATATAAAAGGAGCTGAATTTCTAAACAACTCTCAGTAAGCACAAATGACATTTGTGATGTAACAGCAATAAACAGTTTCACTAGATCTACAGAGCCAGTGTCCAGAGAAGGAAGCTGTGTGCCATAACACAAGTAGAAGGAAGGGAACAACTTACTCCTTGAAAACAGAGGAGGAGGCAGGACAAGAATAAACTCTTTTTCTATCAAAACACCTAAGTCACACATTTAATTGGTCAATATTTTAAAATATTGCTACCATTAAACTTGACTAAAAAAACTGGCTGCTTTCAACTTAACAGTTTTACTAAATTTGCACCCCAGCTTTGCATACAGATCCTGAGCTAACTCAGACCAATCATTGAGAGCCTTTGTTCAAGATCAACTTATGAGCACAAGATGCCATCAACACTACATCAGCATGAGATAAAGACTCCACACTTGGCAGAGCTGTTTAGCTAAGATTTTTTTTAAAAGAAAATAAACAGGTATTAAGTAACATCTGTTTCTTAGTACATGGAGTTAATATGTACCATAAAGCAGAGAGTCGAGAAACCAGATATTTTCCATAAATACTAGTTTTCACAGACTTCACGAAGTGGACTTTATACAGCCAACAGTTGTATGTTTGATAACCCACTGCTATAACATCAGGTTCCTACTTCCTTCATCTTCTAACATCATGATACTATTTTCACTCCTACCGTGTCTGATCATCATATATGATTCACTGCGTAGTAGCAGAAATTTGCCTCACTGGAATAAGTACAACATTTGGAATTTAGAGAAGTAAAAAATTAGACCAAATTACCACTGTTAAATGCAAGTAATTTTTTGGAGGTGTCCCATTTTCTTTATATTACTGAAATGGTACTAAGGATTGTTTAGGCACCTGTAACACATTTGACCAGGGATGAAAGGGTGTTTGAAACTAAAAACAAGTCTTAAAAGCAAGCACAAGGTACATTTTGTAGAGAACACTTTTTGGAAAGGAGTCAACTTTCACAGTTAAATGAATTCAGCTATAGGCACTATAATACAAAGTCTTTCCATTTTTAAAGCTTCATTATTCATAATCTTCTTTATTCTAGTCATTACAAACAGTTTTTATTTTAAACACACAATTCACTTCCACAATCAATAAGACAATTTTATTGCAGTACCTCCAACCTGACAAAAGACATGCAAATACAGATAATTCTTTTTGTTACAATTAATATTTAGAACCTCATACGTAGGCAAGAAGGAACATTCAGTTTCACAGCTCCTAAAGCCAGGACAGAATAGCTTCAATTTTTAATGTCTTAAAAATCTATAAAATAGGATCATGCATTCAAAAGCAGCTCTGGCTTATCCAAATCCCCGTAAAACATGTCTTTAAAAAATAAAAAATATCTCCAGCTTGTGTTAGCTGGATTCACTGAAATTGAGACACAGTTCTATAAAACCTAAATTCAAAAATTTCTAACTTCACCTATTGTAACACGTTTCAAAAAAGTGATCTTCAAATGCACTCATCTGGAGGAGGGGCAGCTTTTCATTTAATGTTAAGCAGCCATAGAACATCTAAGGAAAGTTAGCATGCTGCTTGGCTATTTCACCTGAATGCAAAACATTCCAGCTGCCCTTAGGCAAATTTACTGGTGAAGTTACTATTCCTGCACTGCAAACAGCAGTCCGTTATCAGCAAGTGTTTTAATGAATTATCACACAGTGGAAAGCAGCAACTTGTGAGGATTTCATGAGTGTTATCAAAACATTTAAAACCCCCAAACCTTCCTGCTGATTCTTTACCTGGAATAAAAAATTTTGAATAAAAAATAGCAAAAGATAACCTAGCAATATATGTAAATACTTAATTCTAATTACTTTTTTCTTTGTTAAGTAAACAGAAAGGAGTGGTATTTATAATGGATACCATTCTTCTAGAAAACTGCTTTTCAAAGAACAGTGCTCATTAAAAACCTACAGGGATAGTTTTACTATTTCAATCATCTTTACTTTTAATATGAACAAAAGCTAAAATTTTTACATATAACATGCTAGAAAAAACATCCAAAGCAAGCACACGAAATATGCTTTATTTTTGCTTCTCTGATGGGCCATAAATAGGGTGGGACATGTTTAATCAAACAGAAGATTAGAAGGATTTATGGGAGCAATGCCAGATGTTTTCAGACTTCTCCTGAAAATACGAAAGCAGACCTGCAAAGAGTCCATAATATTAGAATGCAAGTCTACAACAAAAAGAGCCACACCTTCAGATTCCCACAGGGAAATCTCAATTTCAATTATATGCATTCAGCATTTTTCACATAAAACTAACGTTTTACCTGTGACTTGTGATACTGTGTGTTTTACATTTTCTGCTCTTAAGAGACGGGCAATAAAAATGATTCTGCCAAAATAATGTCATTAATTCCACTCAGTCAAGCCACCATGAATGCAAATCCCCTCTAAGACCTGCTCGTTCAGCAATATTTGAAAGTCTAAGTAACAAACATCAAGAATCAAATAAGTGCATGTAATTACCAAGAAAAACCATACAATCCTGTCAGCACCTTTTTCATTTTTCTCCTTGCTTTTCTTTCGCTAGATCTTATCATCATTTAGACTGCAAGGGCAACTGTTGGAGGCAACTGTCTGAATCTGGATTAGTTCCCAAGCCTGTATATGTTTTGGGGTGGTTTTTTTTGTTGTTTTTGTCTGTTTGTTTTGGTTCAGTAATTTTGTTGTTGTTGTTTGTTTTTTAGAGATGAGTCAATCATTATCCTTTTTACCTTATTGCAAGCCAAAGGTTCTAGGACCTCAATAAGTACATAGCACTAGGCGTGTCTCTCTGCACCCACACACCTTGAAGATCTCGACTCAACTGGTAACTGGAATCTTTTGGGGCCTGATACCATCAGCTAGGGAAAACAGCAGTAACCCATGAACTGCAGGTGTCCATGGCATTTCTAGTTCAGTTAACTTCCTTTAGAAATAAAGCCTGCAGCACAGACAGTAGAAGCCATTCAAGCAGTTGAAAGTCTTTACTTAAAGCCAGACTGCAGTGCTTTCCAATTATTTCTCCAGAAAGTTTGGGGACCCCTTCTTAACTAAATACATTCTCAAAATTACTCTAGAGTGGAATAGTCATCCTACTTTACATGCAATTAAATTAAATAGACTTACCACTCTTACAGATATAATTTCTAAGAATTTAGAACTACTACTAAACCTACACAGTCTCGACCACTAAGTCTTCACGGTGTCCTAAAAGACAGTCAGAAGTTCATGCCAGACATATGCTCACAACAGCAAACAATGTTCTCACATACAAGCAATTGCTGCTATTGTTCAGCCTATCCAGAATTACTGATTGCATCAGGCAAGACTGAAAAACAATTACTCTTAGGTGGAACTGCTATTAGGCTTTACTGAGGAACATCTCTCCCAGCTATTAAATTTAGGCTCTTTCCATCATGAAAAATTATTTAGTAGGTCAAGACTCACTAACACTCCTACTACAATTCATGTAAAAAGTGTTATTTTGTCCTAAATATGAAACCCAAGCCTCAAGTTTTTAAGTGCAGATTAACCCAAACATATCTGCAAAAACTAGGGTGGACAATAACCATCCCAATCTCACCACCTCTCCCAGTGCTCCCAAATATTCTTCTATTGCAAGTCAGTGAACAAAGTATATATAGTAATGCTCTCCCTCAAGTGAAAAGAACTTTCACATTAGGAGTTTCTAGAAAGGTACAAATCATTCTCTCCACTGATACTTAAATTCTTTGGAAAAGTGGAGAGAGTAGTAAAATATGTCTCTGGATTCTAGTTTGCACCTTATCTCTGGGAAAGTATACTACAGTTCCTATTGACAAAATCATTTTTCTTTGAAGTACTCTGAACTCATGCCTTGGATAGTGTACTTCTGAAATTCATAGTAGGTTAGTTTCCCTTCAAGCAGCACTAATTGACAATATCAAATCCTGTTGGGAATTCACTTTCTAGATGGCCTGTATATACTAGACTCAGCTTTATTCTGCAGAGTGTTTTCTCAAGATGTTGTGGTCATGCTTCTATAAAAGTCATATGAAGAAATGTGAACAAGATAAGTGCAGGAAGAAATTAAGTGGTGATGGAAAAAGCTTTGCCATCAGTAACCTCAAGCAAATAGCATATACTTCAAATCATGCTTTGAAGCAAAAGCTCTCTTCAAATGTTAGCAGCAGTTAGCACAATAGGCTTTTTTGTTGTTTACAACAATAAATGAGGTGCTGTTCTGCTTTCTTCAGAAGGATTCTGATGGACATATAATCAACCTATGTACCACAAATCATTCCAGGTTCTTTTGCTGGTTGTGCTCGGTGACAAATGATTGTGCCTCTCTCTCAAAATAAGTGTTTGCACTTACAGAACATGCAGAAGGA